TATAATGCACCTCGTCCCGACCTCGACCCTCACGAAATGGTAGACGTCAAACCGGCTTTGGTAAGCTGCTATTCTCTTCTTAGACCTACTAACGGAACTTCTCAACCACTAACCCACAACATTTAGCTACACTTGATTAAAGACTGCTGGGCAGAACATGCCTCCGAAAGACCGCCTATTGCCCATGTTAAGCAACTGTTGAAATCAATGCATTCTGACAAGTGAGTTCTCTGTCAGTTTCTCTCAACCCGGGGGGTTCAGACTCCGCGTCGACGCTCTGTAACGCGCGGCATTTGCAACAGCGCTCCAAACTTTAGGTGCGAACGCAGCCGCAGTCGGCAGCCGATCAGCACTGGCTGGTTGTGTTTCTAGAGAGTGGAGGAGTGGAACAGTAGTATGCCTTGCCTAATCATGCAATCTGGTATCGATCGGGACTGGCCGCTAGTGCTTTGAGGGTGTAGAAGAATAGCAGGGTACCCCGCAATGTGTGAAGGGCAATACCGCTACCTTACACTCTCTTAAAAACAAGTGGCCGTCGTCGTTCGATTGCCACCTGCAGTCGCGTCTATAGTATTGGAATTCTGTGCAGTTGTAATTGTAGCGCTTCGACGCGCGTCATCGCGAAGTCTGAACGCTCCCTCAAAAGTACTCAATACCGACTGACTGTAATAGTAGAACTGTGGACAAATATAATCAATAGTTTAACCCTAGATTGCAAGTGAGCACATTGCTTGGTTGCAGAAGCGAGTTCTGTTTATCTGTGGATGGGTAAAGAAAATAGAGTTGACTTTTTGCAGGAGTTGTGATATCAGCGCTCTCTTGTGGTGTCCGCGTCATTTTGTACAGGCTGCTTACCTCTGACCTCCTCCATTGACAACTGTCAGTCTTAGCCACGCTTACAACCAATAATGTACCCCTTCCCGAGTGTTGGTCCGCACATCCTAAGCACAAGTACAGCGGGAACGGACTAGAAAGGTGATTGTAAGCGAGTTCACGTGCACACCACTGAAATCTTCAAGGTGACGGAGCTGCATTGTGCCATGACAAACCAGCCAGGAAGTACATACTCCGTTAGTTCGCATGTGATGCAGCCCGTCTTGCTGTTTGAAAGTCGTTGTAGCTCAGAACTCTAAGGAACACTCACGATTAGTCTACACGTCGGCGTTGGAGAGGAAGCGTTCAGCTATTCAGTTGTGAATGTGGTAGCGGATAACAGTTGTTCAACAGGGGCATAGAGAATGGTGCATCTAGTCGTATTCGCTTTGGATGACGTGGAGTGTCAGTGCGGCTGAGTTTGGCGCGTCACCATCCTCCCTCCACCAGCTTTTGGGGCCGTTACTAAGAGAGACAAGTTGAAAAACGACGACCCCTATAGCGACTATATGATAAGAGTCTTGTCGCTTGAGAAAAGAAAAAAGAAAAAGAGTTGGCTCTGCGCCAAACCTATCTCACTCGACACGCTCCATCATTCTCTGCAGACAACTATAAGATAGTGGCAGCGGCACAAGGCAAGGTGAGGATGTCTATCGATAATCCTTAGCTGAGCGGACAACTGTCTTTCGTAGCCAGTCAACTTGGCGGACCCTTTCCTTTGCAAAGTCGAATGTGTTGAGTCTTCTGATACGAATAACGTATGTAGTAGTGTGAATGTCCTTCATATGTCTCGCACAGTTGGGTCTTGAAAAGTGGCTGCCCCCACATCAAAAAGGGGCATGAAAAAAAGCACAGGAAAGACCCAGCCACTTTGTGGCCCAATAGCTATGAGGTATTGTGTGAGAACTCGTATGGTTCACTATAATAACGAATGATTGTCTTTTAAGAACATATTTTCAATTTGCCGACTTTTGAGTGGGATAATTGAAGCCAACTTTTCACCCAAATGAAACATTACTATTACACGTTGCTATTAATTTCAAGAGAGCAGATAAAAATCACATTCGCAGCTTAGGAAAGCGCAAAAGTCAGAGCTTTTAAAAGTGGCAAAGCACTAAAGCAGTCAACAGCTCTCCACTGTCGAATTGACTTGCAAGGAGCAGTTCGTATGAAATCGGTTTTTAAACAGTGTTCATGTTCAGAAATGAGAATCTCATGGACTACGCCTTCAATATATTGGAGAAATATGCGTCCAGCCTGGAAGAAGAAGTCGAGCTACGAATGAAGGAGCTATGGAGGAGAAAAAGAAGAGCGACATCTTACTCTATAGAATGCTCCCAAAGTAATATTGCTGTTATTGTCTCCCAGTTGATAAGCTATACAGTAGAACCATGGGCAGCTTCAGTATTCCTAAATCTTGAGCATTTCAGGCAAGTGGCTGATCAGCTCAAGCTCGGACAGTCTGTTGAGCCCGAAGTTTATGAGTCAGCAACAGTCTTCTTTTCGGATGTCGTCTCGTTCACCGTCATCGCAGCCAAAGGCTCACCGTTGCAGGTGCATGAAGGGCTTTTGTCCTTTAGGGGTTCAATATCATCAATAAAGCTGCAAAATGATTCCAATGCTTTTATCATCAAAAGTCCCAATTTCAGGTTGTGAACCTTCTCAATTCCGTTTACACATTATTCGACGGTATAATAGACGAACACGATGTTTATAAGGTGAGATATTTCATGTCCATACAACTTGCCATGATAACGTCCAACCTGGCTCGAGCCGATTTCACTTTGAAACGCTTTCATTAAGGTTGAAACGATCGGCGACGCGTACTTATGTGTCAGTGGCGTGCCACGTCGGAATGGCCACGACCACATCAAGGAAATTTGCAGTATGTCATTGGGTTTTATGCACTCCCTCATCGGCTTCCACATACCTCATCTACCAGACGAGCAGCTGAGACTAAGGATTGGAATTCACACAGGTGAGGAGTGGTTACGCTGTTAATTGAAGCGAACTACGCACTTGTGAGAAAACTTCAAGGGATTTCGAAAGCTACCACCGACAATCATCCAAGGCAGCTTTGAGTCAGCTATTTTGACATAAACCCTTGAACGCTGGCAGACGAGTTATCCTGCCCTGGTCGCTCGAAGTTGGGTGTTAAAGGCACAAAAGAACTTGATAGCGTCCTCAGTATGGTGCACCTCAAGAATTTGCCGCACATCGCCGCACGAGACGCGCACGCGACGAATGTAACGAATTACGATTGTCTTACCGCTGCCTCACCTTCTTTGTGCGTTTATTGCACAATTTTGAGACCGCGAGTTCACTCTCAAATTTGGAATTTCATTTTTGACGAAATTTTCTCATAAAGCGATATTTTTATGAATGATGAGAGACATGGTCGAAAACAGCTGCCCTGACTGTGCTTTGTTTTGACTTACATGCCCAATGTATAACACATGGACGATCCAGAATCCCTCATTTTGCCCTTTGCACTCAACAGTGCATTAGAGACACAAGACGTGTTCGAATCTGACCTCATTTTCGGAAACAAAATTCTAGCTGGATTTCAGTCTATTAAAAAAGACACAAGAAATTCGGGCGCTGGTTTACGCGAGGGGGGGGGGGGCATTTGCGCACTTTAAAAACTTCCATCGGAGTGTCGGAATCCATATCTAAACAGCCCCTTCTCGAGTTGACAGGTTTACCATGATGGCTTGATGAGTTTGCTCCAATTCCACGAGTGTTCACAGGTTGCACCAGAGTGAGACTTGTAAATCGAAAGTGAAGCAACGAAAGTACAAAATGCCCCGCATCGGCAAACTGCGCCCAGAAAATCCTGCTACATCAGTTAGTATGGCCATGGTGACGTAAATGATAGCGCACTCGCCCTGTCTGCGGAAGAACGCGATTCAAGCCCAGTGTTTGGCCTGGACTTATTGCATACAACGAATCGTACTTGTGCATAGTTATTTAAACGCTGAAACCACTACTGCTTTTTTTTTTTGTGAGTCATTTTTTCTTCTCTTTTTTTTAGAGAAAATTTTTTTAAAGATTATGCAGCAGGATGTGCCAACTTACTAGCTGGTCATGCGTACTCCTTCCATACGGCCGACCATTACAGTCTTCATCAATTTAGTACTTGTCGTCGCCCCAGGGCGGTTCAGTTTGACTGCGTTTCGGCGCGGTGCCAAACCCGCATGCCTTCCACCAGTACTTTAAAACCGATGCATTAATGATATGACTTGTATACATCCTCCGTATAACACGTTTTCTACCGAATTTTTTTCGTCGCATATGCGCTTTCTAACAAAATGGTGCTGGAGAGCACTCATACTGGCTGACACGCCCCACCGGTCCGCAATAATGAGGTGTACGTTACTCACGCCAACCCTGAACAACGCCGGCGTTAGCCTTCTCGACTACGACCGAGTCGCTCTATAATAACTCATAGTAGAGAATAATCTGAAAAATGAAAAAATGGCCTTTGTGGACCTTCGAACTCTTGAGTTCCCAGAAAAAATTACACAATTATCCGCAGGAATCACAGAAAACTTTCTTGAGTCATCGGGGGTATAAGCATTAGAAGTGTAACGCGATTTTTCCCATAACATGTTGTTCGGAGTGTCGCACGACTTTTCGGCCAACGTAATATCGGTAATTTAGGACACTCGTTCTCTGATTTTTCAAAGATAGGCTTTCCTGGTTCCTTTGCTGATTTGCTAAGTTAGTGGATACATATGGCAACCTAGAAAATTACATGTAGTACGTTGCTTGTGTATAGTTAACGAGTGCTATTTCCTTCCAGAATACTGCTACTGGTGAAGTGCCGCTATCATTTTTCAACCCCTGTGACCCCAGTCATTTTTAAGGTTCTGTGGTTGCCGGTGTAGTGGGTCTCTCAATGCCTCGATACTGCTTGTTTGGAGACACTGTGAATACCGCCAGTCGAATGGAAAGCAACGGAAAACGTGAGCGTTACAATCTCCAACTTTCAATTTCATACCTTTCCCATTTCACAGCGAGAAATTTCTCAATGCGCGGAATCTTTTCGCTCTCAGGTCAGTGCCTTTGAATATTCATGAGTTCAGACCAAAGCAGATCCTGCCGCTGCGGAAAATTTTGCAAAATGTGACCCCTTCCCTCCCCTTCCGGATCCCTCATCCTTACCTGCCATCTTCCTAGATTCTCCCCAGCTTTCTACCACTTTTCCGAAGAAACTCGATTTTTCACGGAAAAGCAACCGTCGAGCGAGCGGCAGTAGCGAAGGTGGAAAAACCAAAAAAAGACAACAAAGAAAAACCTCTCGATAGCAAACACGACCTCTCCTCTCACTTCACCGACCAAATACCCCTCGCCTGGGATACTGAAAAGCACGACGCGCCCTGATATGTACACAGCCTATGCCTGGAAGACTTCAGAGATTAAGCTGGG